GTACTCGGAGCTCTATATCGCGAGTACTTCGAGAGGCGTTTATACGAACGTTCTACTTAGCTAGGTACCTAGCTATCGTAGCTAAGCTTACTCTTATACTAGTACTCGCTTTAAGGTCCTCTCGAATCGTCTTATAAGGTACTCGCTAAGCTATTCGTTCTTCGATCTAGTTACGCTAGTTTTCGAGTCTAAAGGACGTAGGTATAATAATAGTATACTAAACGATATATATAGTATTTTAAGGTATTTCAGTAGAAAGAATAAAAGTATTAGGACTAAAGGAAACGGAGAAAGAGCAGTAGAAGGTAGGTAAGTACTCGCTTAGCTGAGGTTAAGTAGGTTAAGAGTTTGTTAAGTCTGGCCGACCCTAATCGACCCCTGCTACCCACTAAGCCCCAATTGGTCTGTCCAGCCTCGAACCAAAGTTCCCAGCCGACGTCATCCCTTCTTGGCCACAAATCTCACCCGGTCCTCGCCCGACGACAACGTCCTCACTCGCCACCAAGACATCCATCCACTTCGCCAAGCCATGGAATCCCGTCTTCGGACGACTCAGCGCCCCCCACGATCTTGCACCCGTTGCGCGAGGTCCAAGATCAAATGCGACAAAGCCCTCCCTTGCTTACAGTGTCGTTCTCGTGGGCTTGCTAGTGGTTGCCGAGCGGAGACCGTTCGTTCTCATGGCAGGGTCGTCACGTAAGTAAAGCCCGTGGTGCTATTGCTTTTCAGTAGTGTGGCTGACGAACGCATCAGCGGAGATGTAGCGGACTCCATCCAGCCCAGCTACGAGGACCTCGTCAAGGAAAACGAGAAGTTGCGTCTCGAGATCTCCCGACTGTCCAACCAACAACCACGTGCTGGGACCAGCCGGATCCGACTTATAGGTAAGAACGAGGAACTGCTGTACCAGCGACTAAGGCAGTCACCACGCCGGGAGAGGCTATGGAATATCTCGCAAGTCCAGTTTCCTTCGGAGCAAAGCGTCGACTCGCTACTTCGTCACGGGGCGAACTGGACTTCGTGGTTGCATGGAGCGGTGGATCAGGAGCAGTTTGAGAGCGAAGTTCGTGAGTCCTATACGGCGAGCTCGAAGAGGAGGTTTGAGCTGTTTTCGGACCCTGAAGAATTGGCGTGGCTTGGGATGTTCTTTGCTTATGCTACTGTAAGTTAAATTCTCGATTGATAGAGAGAGAGAGGGAGCTGCCCTGGAGCACGGTCTCGCTGACCAGGGAAAAGGCAAGTCTATTGTTGATGACCGATGCCGAAGCTGAGCGATGCATCTTGCCGCATGGTAAGGCTGGACGATCCATGCAATACCGGTAGCTAACAGACTCTCCCACTTCAGCCAATGTCGTCGCAACCCAGCAGAACTGGTACGACTCCGCACTCTTCTTCCTGCACGAGTCTCAATTCCTCCGCAACCTCCACATCCGCAACGTCCAAACCATCGTCATCCTAGGGACTTGTTTTATCAACTTTGGTGATTTCAACCTCTACTACCACCTATGGGGCTGTGCGCTACGAATGGGCCAGGCTCTGGGGTTGCAGAACCCCAACCAACGACCAGATATGAGTAACATAGGCGTCCGGCTATGGTGGTCCCTCGTCATGAACGACTGGCTTCAAATCCCCCTCCAAGCAGACCACTCAGGCATCGACCGCATAGCAGCCGGCGTCTCCTTCCCTGACTGCAACAACCCATCACCATCAGTCGACAGCCCAGGCCAATACCTCCTGATCCTCTCCAAACTCGCCACCACCCTCCGCCGCCTCCACGAATCAATCTTCTCCATCCAAGACGACTTCACCTTGCTCGCCGCCGCAACCACCACCGTCGACCACGAAATCGCCCTGATCGTTTCCCAACTCCCAGCGTATCTACAGCCCGAATCAAACCCGGCGGACGCGAACGAAGCCCACAAATGGCAGAGAGAGAACCTCTGCATCGTGCTACTCTACTATCGACTCGTCATAAACCGGCCCTCGTGCAACGAACAGAATAACCCCTCAGCCTCCTACACCAACGCCAAAGCAGTGTGTCTCTCCGCCGCGCACGGCATCGTCTCCAGCATCCGCGAGTTCGACACAGGCGATCCCATCACACACCGGCGACTCATCTGGCGAGCATATCTGTCCACGGCCGAAAGAAAGCCCGTTCGTGCTGACCAAAAAGCAGGACATTCCTCCTCCCCGTCTACGGCGCAGCAGCCACCTTGAAGACCACCCCATCCACCGACTGTCGATGCAGCACGACCCATGAATCCGAAGTCGACGATTGTATCGAGTGGTTTGATCGCGCAGCCACGCGGAGCTGTTATGCTGCTTCAGCGACGCAGGCTCTTCGTGACCTTCCATCGTGAGGGCAATGTTTCTCCGTTCTTCTCACCCACTCACGGCCTGGATATCGCTCTTGTTCGAGTGAGTGGCATTCATTTCTTGACGTGATGACGGATGTAGTCCTTCGAGTGTCTAGATACGTTCAATTGGAGGGTCTTGAGGAGCTAAGGGAGGAGGCAGTTGCGTGAATTTCATCGGGCGGTGAAAGTATTGAATTATCACTTCGTCTTCAAGCAAGCTCGAACACTGAACTGATCATGTCCTTTTGAGAGAGAATCGAGAAGCATGGCGAACCGACTCGCTAAGTCCCTGCGTCCGCCCACCTCGCCACCACCGCCGCCGCCGTCGCCACCATGATCTCGGCACAGCCAGCAGTTATATGTAGCTAAAAAGCAACAAGCATGTCCACAGTAATAATTAGAATTACTCCTCTGTTCATTCTCAACCTCCTATATCTACATCAGAAAACCCTATCCATCAATCCAGCTCCACTCCACGCTCTAACCTACTCAAACCCCCATCCAAAAAGAAGAAAGTCAAAGAAAAACCCCGCTCGGTCCTATTCCCAGCTCAATCCGAAACCTCACCATCCCTCCCATCAAAGAACCCCCTCCCCTTCCCCTTCGCTCCCGTAGGCGACTCAATCGCATGTCTAGAAGTCCAAGGCTCAGCCGAAACAGAAGAAGCAAAATGACTCTCCAACCCAAACATCACTTCTCTAGAATCCGCCCTCCCCAAAGTCGGCAAACTCCCTCTAAATCCCAACGTGCTAGTCGAGCTACTCGCATTCCTATGCAAGTAGAACGCACGAACCGGGGAAGGGGTCGAATGCGCGCTGCTGGAAGACGTCCTCATCATGGCGGGCGGAGTGTGCAGCGAGGGGGTCGAGGCCGAGAGATTCGGAAGGTGGCGGTGAGGAGGCCGCGTCGCACCCATCGTCGGACTTTCATCATCACCGCCGCCCATTGTCATCAGCAAAGAATTAGAATCTACATCGTGAGCTCTTCTGTTGTCGTACGCTCTGGTCGGCGGCGTCGCGGGAGCTTCATGTTGGGAGAAAGAGGTGGAAAACGGGTTTCTTTCTAGCTCCAGCTGTGCGGGCCGATGGTTGGGACGCGGCCCTGACCGTCAAGTCGATGCTGCGGCGCCTGGGGGGCGGAATATCGGCTTGCCCTGGTCGTCGGTCTCCTGTCCGTCCTGGTCCTCCTCGCCATCGTCTCTATCGACAGCGACGCCGGACTTGCCCATGGCGTCCGTGTCGTCTGCGCCTTCTACTGCGTTGGTCGGATTCGGTCGAATAGCTTGTGACGTGGCGAGGTTTGCCTCCTGGGATTCTTCGGGCTCGTTCTGTGGTTCTGCTTTGCCCGGCGCATCCTGCGAAGGAAAGTCTCTGTCGCCGTCATCGTCGTTGTCCCCTCGGACAGCTTCAGCGTAGGTCTTCTCATCATCTCCACCCTGTGAGTCCGACGCAGCAGGAGGTTGGTTCTCCTTGTCGTCATCTTCCTCGGTTGCCGCAGCAGTCGACTGTGTACTCTCAGCTGGCCGCTCAGGCTCGGTGACGGTCCTCGTCGCCAGGGAATCTGCCAGATTCTCTTCCTGCTTCCCTCCCGACTCGCTCGCCTGCGAAGGGTTGGACGTCGCCTCCTGCGCCGCAGAATCATTCTTTCCCTCCTCCTTCTCCGGCTCATCCGCAGTCACACTCTCATCCTTGCTCGCAGACTGCAGGTTCTCCCTCGAAGGCTGGTCCATCAACCGCTTGCTCGGACTCTTGCTTGTTCGCTTTGGGCTGTCAGTGCCGGAACCAGAGCCAGAACCAGAACCGTTGACAAACTTGCTAGTCTGCTCCTTGGCTCGCTCAGCAGCCGTTTTGACACGACGTTCGAAAGTTTGCACATGGTCACTAACCCTGCGGTCCCTTCCAAAAGTTCCGTCCTTGATCGACTTCACATCGCGACGCAATTGCTCGTGGATGTCCTTAGCATCCACCTTCTGGAGCTTCGCCTCGGCTGCGATGATCTCGTCCTCTGCCTTCTTGCCAATCTTCTCAACAGTTTCTTCGGTCCTCTCGTGCGCGACATGCCCAGAATCGAGAACCTGTTTTGCAGCGTGAGATGCACGGCGTGGTCGTCCGCGGCCGGTGTATGCCTTGATGAAGAAGCGTCCAAACAGGAATGTCAGCGGTGCCAGATACAGCAAGTTCAGATAGATGGCAAACGCTTCACCAGAGGTGTCAATGCAGTTGACTTTGGTCCAGTCGGTTCGATATCTCGTCTCGAATATCTGCTGCGTCTTCTCGTTGAACTTCTCGATCTTCTCTTCGATGTGCGATGTGATGGGGTCGCCGTAGTTGTCAGTAACACGCTCTGCGATACCCTCCTCGCCGACTGCACGCAAGAGGAGCTTCTTGATCAACGGGATCAAAGTGCCAGTAGCCGCCGCTGGAGATTCGATGACTTTGGAAGCTGTCGAGCTGGCTGCCGATGCAGCAGACGAGGCGCTCGAAGCTGCTTGCTTGACGTAGGAAGCAATCTGATAAGGCGTGGAAACCGGGATGTCGTACTGGATGAAAAGGTGTGCTGCAGCGTAAGAAGCACCCCAGACGAACTGTAAGATCTGCAGAGATGTGAGTAGACGCTTGAGGCGACCTGGCACCTTGACGCCAACTGCAGAGAGGGTAAAGTACGTGTACTGATTAAATGTCAGCCTAATTCTTCCGAGCGTTTTCGTTCCAATACTCACCATCAGTGCGTGAATGAACGAATTGATAAAGACGAACATCCAAATCGGCGGGCTCATGTATCTGATGCCCGCCCACATGCACAGCATCGCACCCGCATGGTGATATGTCTGCAACGTAGCACTCCTCTTGCCCTTGGCCAGAATGATCAACGTATCCAACACCTCGTAGAACTTCGAGACGTAGAACACCCATCCCCAGAAAGCCAGACCTTCGTTCCAAAGCCGACCAAAATCTGAGGGGTCTGGATTGCTGTCATAGCCCAACTTGATCACCGTGTTCTTGACCTCCCAGATGTTGATCGTCGTATTGAACGTCGCCGCATCTCCCAATCCTCGCGGACCATGCAGCTTGCACAGCGCATCTGCAGCACCAGCCAAGCCCGTCTCAGTGTTCAATCCTGGCCAAGTATGCGCAATGGCGCGGCACATGGCCAAGAAGGTCGCGGTCGAGTAGAGCGTGAGGAGGGCATTGTGGACGACAACGAACCACTGAAACCACGGCTGACGCGCAATCCACCAGGGCTTGTGATTCCGCTTTCTGTTGAAGGCATTGAGGGCGAAGACGCTGACAATGTAGATCGTCGCGAATGTTACGGGGATCTCTGGGCGGAGCGCGGCGTGGAAGAGGGTAGGCTCGATGCCGAATGGGGAGCGAAAGGATCGTTCCTTGACGGGCGGAGGCAGTGGGCCTGGTCGCGAGTCGGGCAGGAAGCCAAAGGTGGGCGTGGTGAGGTAGACCTGAGGGCCCGACATGTTGCGAGCTCGTGCCAGTGGTTCTTGAGGGATTGTGAGAGGCGACGCAAGGTGCGCGTTTCAGCCACGCGACAGTGCGCGGATGGGCGTTGGCGTGTTGGCGATGAGGTGAGGCGAGGGCGGGCTGGATCCGAGTTTCGCGACCGACAAGAACAGCTCTATCTCGTGCTGGTGCTCGTCATGATCATCGGGCCGTCGTCATGTTGTTGTCGGTATTGTTGTACGCGGAAAGAGAGGGAAACATGGGCGAAGCGTCGTCGTCGGCGCTTGCAAAAAGTGTGGCTGGTAAAGCTCGTTGGAAGCTGTGCAAAGCTTGGAAATTTGCCGCCTTGTGATGATGTCACGATAGACAACACACTCCCCGAGCGACTGGCCTGGACTGGACAATGACAAGACAAAGCCGCGTTGTTCCGATGGCTGAGTGCAGGCAGAGGAAATGATATAAGGGCGTGTGTAGTCGTAGCCTGGTCGCAATCGAAGCCGTTTTGGTATTATACCATCATATCAACTACTGCTATTACTCCAATCACACAGAACACATTACTCCAAACAACGACCATGTCCGCCCAGAACCACGGAGAAAAGGCCGGCGAAGGCGTCAAAGGCGTCTTCAAATCCATCAACGTACGTCAGAACCTGCATCCTCCTCATCCATCCCCATCTCACATGCTAACACTCGCATCAGGACGTCGGCGAATCTCTCCGAGGCAACATCAACGGCGCCCTAGACGGCTTCGGCGACGCCATCACGGGCAACAACCGCAGCCATGCCCACTCTTCTGGCTTCGGCCACAGCAGCGGATCTTCTGGACTCGGCCACTCAACCAGGTCAACAACCTCTTCCGTCCAGAATGATTCGGAGAAGGTGCGACGAGATCTGAACAAGGGCCTCGATGACGCGGGGAAGAAAGTCGAAAACTTTGTGCATCACCACAAGTAGATTGAATGTGAGAGGAGGGGACGAAGTCATGATTAAACGAGCCTTACGACCTGTGTTTATGAGAGCGTAGACCGAGTATGTTGTAGTATAGCCTTCTGCATCATTGCTTGTATCCTACACTGTGTCCGCAGACAACACTACCCTCCATCTGCATTTCCCGGATCTGTTTTCAAAACTCCTTCTTAGGCGCATCCCCCTCCTCCGCACCCGTTCCATACTTCCTGACCTCCTCCTTCCCAGCAACCCGATCCTTCTCAAAATACTTCACCTCCTCCGCACTCATATTCTTCGCCACCTGATCCGCCTGCCACTTCTTAAAACTAAACCCCACCCCCTCATGACTGTAATCCTTATCATTCGCCTGATCCTTATGATACTTGACCCTGACAAACCCCGCCTCCTCACTCCCCGGCTCCAGCGCCAGGCTCACCAACGCATTAATGGTCGCCGTCTTGGGGATGATTTTGAACGTCCACGACTGTTCGTTCTTGAACTGGATGAGGTCGGGGTCGTTTTTGATGATCTCGTAGCCTTCGTTGTTGCTGGCTTTGAAGAGTCTGGGGAGCGCGAACCATTGGCCGGCCATTTTGTAGCGGTCGTTGGCGTACACGAATTGGTCGTCGTAGACGCAGTCGGGGGTGTAGCGTTCGATGCGTTGGATCGTCGGTTCGCAGGAGTAGAGGGCGATGATGTCGTCGATGAGGGCTTGCCGGGCTGGGGAGAGTGGAAGGGACTTAGAAGGGTCTGGGTGGTAGTCTTCGGTGGTGGAGGTCTGGCGAGGCTCGAATTGCTCGCCTGGGGCTGTGGCGGACGACATTCTGGTGGTGGTGGTTGGCCGTGTTCCGTGGGTGATTCTGGGTGCTGCACTGCGGACGTGGGGAACGGCCGGAACGATGATCTTCTTTGCAATGTTCTTAAGGTAGCGCAAGGTGAAAGGGCGAGCAGAGATGAGAGCTAGATGTATAAGTAGACCCAATACCTTCCTACCTCATTGTCCATTGTCTCGAAATGAAAGCGTTACTGTGACGTGTAGACTTGGCCTTCTCGCACGCGTTGGTCCATATCAACGGGCCATCGAAACACCGAGAGACGCGGCGTGTCGTCTTTGACTGCTTCGACGTGTCTTCACTGATGCAATGGATGCTCTCCTCGAGCGGAAGATGTTGGTCAGAACGTAACCATGACGAGTCGAGCTGAGGTGCAGTTGCTCTCGCAGCACGGACTTTTTCGGCCCGGAAAAGTCTCTTCGAACCTCACCTCTTCCTCTCTCACACACTCTCCATCATCCAAAACATCCGAATGAGTGAACCCAGCGCTTATATGCGCTCAAACCTCTTCTGATCGTATTCAACAACGGTAGTACAGTCGCTTCAAGGAAGCAGAGCCCTTGGCCGGCCGTCCAGCCGATCCTGTGCCCCGACACGTGCCGAATCACTCCAACTTTATTTGCCCTGCCTCAATATACCACTGTAAGCGAGATTCACTTTCGATCAAATTTGTGGAAGCGAAGCTCCATAATTTCCCTTTGAAGCCGGCCCACGGCAAGATACAGCGCGGGCAAGGTAGTATATCTATCGTTTGGAAGTCTTTCTTTCAACTTTTTCACCCGTTCCGACATCTCCAATGGCTCTCCTACTTATCGCCACGGCCTTGCTTGGGTGTGCAGGCGCAGAGTTCAGTCCTTTGCAACATCTTGGAGGCAATAGCCCTTGGTTCGAAGGACCGAACGTCTTTGGCATTGATCCAAGTCCACCGGGAGGATGTGTGGTTGATCAAGCTGCCTTCACGTCTCGTCATGGTTCGAGATATCCTGATCCAGGGGCGTACTATGAGTGGACCAACTTGAGCGCGAAGGCAAGCCAAGCACTTTTGAAAAAGAGTGAAGCTCTCTGACATTCAAGTCCATCTAGATCAATGCCGCAAACTTCCACACCTCTGCACCAGAGCTCGACTTCCTAAAATCATGGAAGCCAGTCCTCAGCCACCCAGAACTCCAAATCTCCCAGCTCTCTCTGGGTGGCTACGCAGAACTCTACGAAATGGGCGTCAACTACCGCTGGGCCTACCCAGACTTCTACACGGAAAACACCCCCTTCGCCCTCTGGGCCAACAAATACAGCACCACCGTCTTCCGCGTCGTCGACTCCGCCCGCCTCTTCGCGCGAGGCTACCTCGGCCCCAACGCCACCACCGCAGGAGAAATCTACTCAATCGAAAGCAAAGACCCGCGCTCCATCGCCAACTCCCTCGCCCCCTCAGACCTCTGCCCCAACTACGAAGACAACGGCGGCGGCGCCAGCGGCACCACCTGGGCGGAGATATACCTCCCACCCATCGTCAACCGCATCAACACCCTCCTCCACGGCCTGCATTTCAACTCCTCAGACGTCAACATCTTCCCCTACCTCTGCGGTTTCGAGACCCAAATCGCCGGCAAGCGCAGCCCGTGGTGTGACGTCTTCACTGATGACGAGATTCTGCAATACGAGTACGCCCAGGATCTCCGCTACTGGTACGGCACAGGCCTCGGCACGGATCTGGAGAAGAATATGATGCTGCCGTTCCTCACGGCGCTCGTGCAGCGCTTCGTCGATGGGCCGAATGCCACGTATCCATCAAATACGTCGTCGTCGTCTTTCCACCCGAACCCTTTGATAGCGACCTTCACCAATGACGGCCAAGTCAACCAGCTCGCTGCCGCGCTTGGCGTTTTCGACAATGAAGCGCAACTTCCTGCCACACATATCCCTCACAACCGCCTCTTTCGCGCCAGTAGAATCAGTCCCATGCGCGGCACGATCGGTTTCGAGCGCTTGAACTGCGGTCGGAAGGGACTTTTCATGCGTATTAAGCTGAATAATGCCGTCTATCCCGTTGCGAACTACCAGGATGGACCGGGACGAAGCTGTGGATTGGAGAAGTATAAGGGTCTGGTGGCGGAGAAGATGAAGCGGTTCGGGGACTTTGAAGTAGCTTGTGGAGTTGCGAACTCAAGTGTCGTGCCACCTGGGACGGAGAGGACGTTCTTGACGGACGTGGGGCTGCCGTTCGAGGAGGTTCGTGCGCCGTAGAAGTCGCAGGTATGTAGTGTTGCTGATGCCAATCCCGTTATCTACTGTCTGTTTGTGCACTGGTGTCTTTGTTCTAATGCTTCTTTGTAAGCCTCCAGCACTCAGCAATCTTGGAACTGCCAAATACTGATGGCCTGCGTCACGTTAGCCTGGCGGGCCCCCTTGGCCCGCACGGATACTACGGTCTGTGAAGAATGTATACCTTTGGCCAATCGGTGGCAATAGGGTCGGGGCTCGTGCTCGATCGGTCGAGGAGGGTGGAGGGCGCGGAGGAAAGGAGGGCTCGCGGGGTCGGTCGGTCGTTCGCTCGCTCGTACCAGGAAGGACATGCATCATGTGTTTCCACGCGCAGTGCAGCAACCGAAACTGGGGGGCCTGGTAGTCGAGCTAAGCTGCAATAAAGCGAAGAGCAAAACAGCCTAGCCGCTGCGACTCCACGGAAACATCCACAGAGACCCAAGCCAGCACAATCCGAGTTTCGGCGCGGCGACAAGAGCGGTCAGCGATCTCACAACCTCCGCCTCTGCCGGGGGCGCCGGACGGCGAAGGCCCTCGCCTCTGATTGCACTGGTGTCGCGCTTCCGTGCGAGCGTTCAGTAGGTCCGACTGAGCCAACGACGTCTGGTACGCTACACTACGGCGCTCCCGCCGAGGCGGCCAGGGAACCACGGACTCGAGCTGATGCTGGATATCCTTTTCTTCGAGGCGGTCGTATTCGTCGCTCAGTTCCCTGGTTGCGCCTCGACGGAATCCTGCAACTGCAAATGCATCCCTTCTGGTGGCGAGCGATGCGCGGTCGAGGTCGAGTAGGCGTCGATGGGGTCGGCTGTGGTAGTCAGCAAAGCGCGAGTGTCTTTCAGATGAGATGCGACAGACCTGAGGTGTATGAGGTTGGTGGGGGTAGAGTCGACGGGTTAGAAGTGGTGCAAGAAAGAAGTGGAAGGATATTGACGTCGAGGCGGATGGTGGCTGCAGGTGGGGAGAAGATTGAATAAATAATCTTTAAACGCACAGACCTCTTCGCTAAGAATTTCGCGTCCAATCACCGTCGGCGTTGCCTGCCCAAATATTCACTCGCGGGAAAGCGGATCGCGCCAGCACGTGGTCATCCCGCTTGCAAAACACCACACAATTTTGAGCGCTTCCCCGTTTCAGCCAACACGTCGCAAGTGCATTCGACATCTCCATTGCACCTCGTCACGCCTGGAAAAATCAGGGCAAGTAGGTGTGATCCGTTTGTTAAAACTGCATTAATCAGAACTAACATTCGCACAGCTCAGGCCGTCGGGCGAGATCAAGGAATCATGTAGGTCAAAGTGACGGGCGAACCTCATGCCCAGGCTTCGGACGCCGCGCGCGTAACGGTGAGCTTAGATGGACTCGCGAATTTGTTCAGGCGACTGACGAGGCATAGATTCTGGAGAAGCAGGTGTCGAGGCTCGAAAAGGAGCTCGCACGGTGTAAACTGGAGAAGCGTCAGGCCAATTACCGCTTCAGCTCGCAATCTGAGGCACTCGACGAAGTAACGACGGAGAGAAACTCTCTGCAGGATCAAGTGCGGATGCTTCGAAAGGCCGAAGGCGATCATCACACACTCTACGTCAACAACGCCACTGCCGTCGCGAACTTGAAGATGAGTGGGCGACAGAACATCATCCTCGATGCTGGCAGGAAGAAGCTGGCGAGGCGGGACACTTCAGCACTGGCTTTCGCATTGGTGATCGCACGCACAGCTCAGGAAAGCGAGCAGAGATTCTGCCGGATCAAACAGCTCGAGGCGGATAATGACCGCCTCTTGAAGGAGGCCAGCATGGATTGCCGCAAGCTCAGTGACCAAGGCACCCAGATCAGCGATTACAAGGAGCAGTTTCAGCAGATGTTCAGAGAGAAGGAGCAGGCCAAAGAGGAGCTTGCCTGGGTCAAGGCTCGCGCCCAGGAGAAAGACAGAGTGTTCCAGAACCTCAAGAAGGAGAATGCACAAACGGAAAAGGCGCTCAAAGACCAGTACACCTTGGGTCACAAGCACAGCGCCGAAATTTCCAAGCAGAATGCCGAGATCTCCAAGCAAAATGCGGAGATTCGCAAGCAAAAGGAGTGGCTCAATCAGTTGAACGGCATGGGCTGGGTGCATGAAGACGGATCGCTCTGTGACAGAAAGCCGAAGTGGATGAAGCATTGAGGAGCTGCTATTGCTGTTCTTTGGATGTGGTCGAGATGGAAGCCTTCCTTGGCGGTTTTGTAAGTCGTTACAGGACATGGAATGGTTGCGATTGCAAGTATGGGGCAGTTCCACACTTTGTGGGACATCTGACGGGCTCACTCGTCTTTGTGTTGATTCTTTGTTTAGAGTGCTGTACCTGTACCAAATCAGGGGTTCTCCGCCGCCTTGAGCCCACACTGTCATTTCATTGTGATTGCACTGAATGGCCTAATCCCCCTTTCTGGAGCACCACGTTATCTGCCGCTGCTATGTGACTAGCTATGAAACTGCAGACCCGGGGACAGTTCGCAGTACTGCTACAATCCAGGTAAAAACGACACGAATGGAACCACCAAGAAAACAAATCTCGAGCTTTTCATTACTTTTCCTGTAAGTTACCGGCGGCTGGTCTCTATCAACGGCGTACAGACTTTTCTCATGGGCTATCAGTCAGCCAAACCCTTCACTAGCACACTGCATCCAATCCTGTGTCTCTTCTTCGTTCCGCTGTAAGTTCAAACCTCAGACCAATTAGGTCTGCACCTAATTCGCGATGCTGCCACACCCTCATAAAGAATCACTTCCCATGTTAAACCATCAGTCGCTGTCAACATAGTCATCATCGTCCTCCTCCTCCCCCTCCTCTTCCTCTGTATTGTCCTCAACTTGATCCTCGTCTTCAACATCGTCCTTGACGTCGCCAGCAGCACCGTCCTCGAGGTCATTAGCCTCTTCTACGTTGTCAACGCCACCCATTCTCTCGTCCAAGCCATCGGCGATCGATGCCGTGACTTTCTGCAGAAGGTCTTTCAGCTCCGTCAGCTGCACGATGCGTTCCGACAAAACCTTCTGCATGGTCGCAACATCTGCTTGACCTGAACCATTTCGCTGGGTCTGGCGCACGAGTCGCGCTTCCAATGACTTCTTCTCTGCAAGAAATCTCATCACCCCAGCCTTCACCATAATGAATGTGTTCAACAAGTCCCCTGAGACTATGTCGTCGTGAGGCTCTTCGATCTTGTCCTGCTCGTCGAACATTCCCTTCAGCGTGTGGCCAATCCAAGCAAGCTCTTCCCTGTAGTGCCGGACGAAGTGGAACCAGCAGCGCATATTCATTTCGCTGCCTGTGTCTCCGGATTCGTATTCCGCCTTGGTCTCCTCGTACGAAATGCGGGACTCAGCGAGCTGCTTGAGCATACCGATTACCTCCGCCTCGACATCTTCAAGGGCGCGACGGAGTTCTTCATAGGACTTCACATTCTTCTTGGCTGTTTTGTACTTCACGAAAATGGTCTCTTTGCGCTGCAGTTTGGGTCCCACCCGCTCTGCGTTCTGTGCCTCTTGAGCGCGAGCTAGCGCATTGGCATACGTCTGCTCTGCATTCGGAACGAGCGCAAGGAGCCTATTGATCTCCTCGTTGATGGGAATGATCCGCATACGGTGTGCCAGCAAGTCACGCATCTCTTGAGTATCTGGTCGTGGTATCTTCCCGTCGACTGCAGTGAAGCCTTCCATTCGAGGGTCCAGCTCTGGAAGAGCGCGATGCGGCTTCTTGTGCTTGATGTTGGTCTCCTCCCATGTCTTCGTCTTGTATCGCCCGTTGTGCTTGACACTGTAATAGTGTCGAAGGCACTCCCACCGGTTGCGGTCAGTCACTTGCTGGGCAATGAGTTCGAAGTCTTTGGGGTGGCGCTTGAAGGCGATGGCGAACTGGAGATGTTCCTCGACTGTGAAAGCGTACAAGATCTCGTCGAAGTCGAACGCAAATGGGACGTCGTCTGGGTGGATCAATCGAGGTTGCCGTCGGCGTGGTTGTGGTGGAGACTGCTCGCGCTCATCCTCACCGCTCAGCGAGTCTCTCCGGGGGCGCCACATGTTGTCGCGCGTGTCTGACATGTTGGCGGTGATCCGACGCGATTGAGGGCGACAGTGGTCGTGATGGCGTGCGCAGTATGTAATGACAGAAAGGAGGCCGGGGAGCTGTGTTGGAGAGGGGTTAGACACGGAAATTTTGAAATGGCGATGCTGCGACAAGGTGCCATGGCAACGTCCGTGCGCGGCCCTTCACGTCCATTCACTTACCGCGCAAAGGCGTGACGTATGACGCGCGCATTCACGCGTTCACTTCAACACGAACTCAGCTTTGCCAGCCTGTCTCCCCAACTCCTGCTGGACCTAATATGGAAAGCTTTGGCATTGCCAGTGACGCTACATTCACTTAGGTGGGGCGCACAGCGCGCTAGCGCGCCACCATATGCTCGCGGCGCACAGGCTCCTACTACATTCAGCATAGCATAACGAGTCAAAACATGCGGAGTATGCTCTATCTTCGCAGCATCGCGACTTCAGCTTTCCATGATGAAGGCGTCCAGTCGCCTCAGCCTTGCAAGTCCTACTCATTAGGCCCTAAACGTGGTATTGGGCTGATACAAGGGCACCATGTCTTTCTCATTGATACTATGAAGAAGGTATGTGAGTCTATTGTGAGCCAACTCTCTCAGCATGCTAATTGCGACGCTGCAATAGCCTTCTGGGGACATGTTAGTTTGAGGAAAGCGTGTCCATAGAATTCCAAATGATTAAAACATGTTTTATCGTTGAAATGAACTGATAATATGGAGATATTGTGTTGCGCGCTGGTCGACTGAGCAATCGTGTTATCTCTAAAGGACATAGAAGGCTTCTGCCAAGAACACATGAGACTGTACAAATGCATACCTCCTTTTGCGCTCAGCTCTGCATGCCGACGAGCACATCTGCGTATTCGTTTATATCTGAATACGACCAAGACCTATTCTTGTCGATGCTTGTCGACAGGGTGGCTGCTCGGCGCCGAGTCCGCTGTGAGACAGCTTGCTTACCACACAATTTGTAAGGTCGAGTGTCAGTGCGCCCCTGACACTTAAGAGCTTGCACATCGGCACCTTCTTCTACGAGATTCACATTCCAGCGAGCGAACCGTTCGATCGAAATGTCTTCATCCGAGAAATACGCACAAGCTGGAGTTGCAAGTGCTCGGCAGAGGAAAGGAGTGGCTGATGCCCAGTTTGCTGGGCGCCTTGGCGGGAACCAGGAGTTCATCGCAGATGTCAACGACGAAGATGCTCAGAGTCTACTTAAAAAGCAGCCAGATGCTGTAAGTGGGACATTTGGTTATACTGGCCTTAAGCTAATAAACTGCCGCTAGGCGCCATTGACGAGCATAACGCAATCATTCGACCTCCGAGGCTTTCTCGTCCCGAACCTATGGAAAATGGCATTTCTTGAAGGATGGGGTAAGTCGCAAAATGTGCATGCAAGTAACGAGCTCACGATTGCAGGAACGTTTCTCCTCGTTTTCAGTCTCGGTGCAGCTGCGACAGGATTGACCGCGGTTGACGCCACTCCGCTTGCTATAACGTGGTCTGCGGCATTGATCAACTTCCTGGGGCTTGGAATTTTCACCTTTTGCTTAGGACCAGTAACAGGAGCACATATGAGTAATGATTTCTGTCTCTGCGAAGATAATTGCTGACAACTTCAGATCCCACCATTACGATGACTACCTTCTTCGTGGGCCTCACCACTTTGCCTCGAGCCATACTTTACATTATATCCCAAGTCGTTGGAGCGGTTATTGCAGGATATTGGTTGAGACTTGGCTTGGGCGACGAATGGTACTTTCCAAAGGCGAGTGCTTATCATACATAATGCAACCAGCGAACTCTGACAGAGCTCAGGGCGTTATACCCGGTTGCACAGTCGATCCAAACGTCGTCTCGCCTGGCCAACTATTCGCATTGGAGCTTGTATTTTGCCAACTTCTGATCTTCCTCGCGATCGGCGTGGGCCTTGATCCAAGGCAAGGCAAAGTCTACGGACCAGCGTTCGGTCCAGTCTTGGTCGGCATAACTTTGGGATTCGGGGCCTTGACTTCGTCCCTTGTGAAGCCAGGATATACGGGAATGTGTAAGTTAACTTGCGGACGACATGAAAGAGTATTGCTTCTAATTCTCTCAAGCTGCAAACCCTGCACGTTGCCTTGGGCTCATGGCAGCCAAGAATGAGTTCCAGTATCATTACGTCCATTGGCTCGGACCGCTGACAGCGTCGATATTGAACGGTGTCATCTACGTTCTGGTACCGCCGTGGGAGCGAGAGGAGTTTTTTTCTTTCGCTAAAATGCGAAGCGCCTTCTCCAAGTCTCACACCGTCTGAAAGCACAGCCTTGTTCACAGTCAAGCACCTGGTACTGAAGGCCTTGAGGCAGCAAGATGATATCAGAGACCGAACATCTTTCCTGCGCTTGGAAATGTGAAGAAATGTGAGGGTGTCGAGTAAGAGCACGTTGCAGGTTCCCTTTCGTTCGTGCTGCTTGATGTAGATTAGCCTCCCAATTAGATTTCGGAAGATTTAAGTTCACTCCTGCCTACTTGAAATAAAGCTATGACCTACGGTCCCATATCAAGCAACCGTCTAGACATGCCAATGGCTTAGTCAACATTTGTGAGTTTGTACTAATGGTTTCTGACGACGGACTCAGGCAACGCAAGGAGCCCGGCTTGCCATGTGGCCATGACGCAGGCTCAAAACCATATTTAAAATAATTTTCAACTCAGCCACGCTCTTCGAAACCACCAAACACACCTTACAACAATTCCACCATGCCAAGCCAACTATATGAGATACTGAAGGAAACTGCGACGGCACATGTCCGGGCATATTCGAGTCCAAAGCACTGGGATGCGGACGCAATCTGGCCCCTTCGAACATCCGACTGCGTGCACTACCTGCATCCTATAGAGTCAATTCCACCACCTTTCAACGAACCTATCAGAGAGGAGCAACATCGGCATTTCATGGCCTTTTTCGGCGATTGCATGTCTCGGTGCCAATTCGACATACTGGACATGGCTGTGGACGAAGAAAGGCGAATCGTGGTCACTACACTTCAAGCGACATACGACTTCAAAGCTGTTGGAGACGAGCCAGAGGTTAAGGATTGGACGGCGCAATATGTGTGGCTAATTGAGATGGAGGAGACTGGCAGGAAGATTAAGCGAGTGGAGGAATTCATGGATGCTCAGAGGCTGCTAGGATTTGCAGCTACCAGGGCCCACAAGTACCAAGACGCTATGAAGAAGATGTAAGGATGTTCTTGTTGTTGGGTCAATCAACCGCAAGTAACGATCGGAGATAGAGAAAGATGAGGTATACAGAACCGCGTTTCGATCCTCGTCTTCTTTCGTCTGTTCTTCCACCGACCATGCAATCGATGAAACCGCATTCGACACAATATCTCCCGCTTTCATCACCGCGACTGTGGCAGCAGAGATAATACATCTTTTATCATGTCTCAAACGATGTGTGCTTCTTCCCACGGCGCTGCGTGGGCCCCTTTACATCGATGGCCTCTCACGACGAGCAAGCCGTCAACCTGCTTCAATACTGATTCCATTTTATCCGCCTGATTCATTGGAACCAGCTGATCCTCCGCACTTTGATCAATCAGCACCACTTTCGAAATCTCTTGTCTTTGCATCCTCTCCTGCAACTGTTTGGGATGCAACCTGGCAGGGCTTGCAGTCCACCAGTGAGCCTCATCGCTTCCAAATGCATGACTGATCAGATCTTGTAGACACCAGCGAGATGATCGTGTGAGGTGCCAAGATCGTAAACAAGATTTGGAAGATCGTAGAGTCCATTCAGACCAATCAAGGCTGCGGGTGTGGGTGGCCGGCCTACATCGTTACTCCAATGCTGTGGCGGTAGGAGGATTGCCTGAAACGCCAGGCAAGCGCCTGCGCTATGCCCGGTCAGCATATAAGAATCGTCATCGAGGCCCGCGGATCGAAGGAAATGAAAGGCATGAAGGATGTCCGAAACATGCATTGGATGTGTGGCATTTCGAGAAGGATCATCTTGATCGCCTTTGACAGGATCGTAAGGAAGACTCGGATGACTTGGGAATGGAGACAATGTGTAGTCGATAGACACAATGCCTTCGATGGAAAGTTTCTCCTCTGCAAATACAATGGGTGCATGCGCCTCAATCGAGCTTGAGCGAAGGAGAGGGTCTCGCCAGGCGCCACCATGGATATGGACGTGCCAGACAGGCAAGCTTTCTCTGTTCTGAGGGTGCGGCAACTTCGTGAAGGGCTTCCCAGCAAGATGACTGAAAGTCTCTGTCCGACGAAGATAAATGTTGAGATTCTGTCGAGCGTTTGCGTCGGTAACGTGGGGAATGTTTCTGGCCACAATTGCTGGCGTTCGTCGAGCCTCGTTTGGAGAGGTCAGATCCTCCAGTTGCCAGATGGCCTTAGACGTTGCCATGATTTCACAGCTGGACGGCTTGTCGAAAGTAGGTAAACAACACCTCAACCTAGTCAAGCAGCTGTGGTGAAAGTCACAGAACGATGCTCGCCTCCGTGACCAGATCGCGGCGCTTCGATACTAGGCCTAACCCACCAACACGAGCTAAGACTTCTCCATCAAACCACCAGATGTGGTCCAGATGCAGTTCGTCAAACCAAATGCAGCGCTAAAGAACTTCTCAAAGCTGGTGGCGCATGCCATTGTATCGGCCGAAAGCTCGCGCCCGGGAGCTTCATCAACTCTTTAGCTCAGCCTGCTTGAGCCTTTTCTACTGGCCGGTGTATTCCAGCTCTTTCCACGTTAGGATTAGTTCCAATCACTCCTTCCTGTCTGGGTTATGCTCTTCTCATAATACTGGTTTCAGCTGAATTGTGCCCGCCTGACGATTACCTAGACTAATTCTGAAAGACATGACCAAGACGATCGGCGCTCTTTAGTAAGCTATCGTAACATTCGACTAAGCAAGAGGACCGTGCTAGGCAGCCAAGAGTGGCTTTGAGTCGTGGAACGCGAGGAAGAGGATATTGAAAGCTCTGTACATGATCTTTGTTTTAACGACAACCTTTCTGTAGCAGGAATGAGACGTCGTTACTGGCGAGGAACTATTAGTACTACGGCATTGGTGAGAAGGAACCGCAACCGCATCACAATCACTGGCTGCTTTTGGCGAGAAGAAGAACTCTTATCAAGAGATTATTGCACAGAAGGGACCTTGGAACGTTTGAACCAGGTATATACAGTGCCTATGACCTATGGACAGAAGACAACCTTGAAGTCAGTCTTCCCCTTGTAGCAGACGGTATCAGCAGGCGATCCATCCTTTATCTGGTCAGGATTGGTCCAGCCTTGATCCAGTGGGCACGACCACGGAAAGCAAGTTTTGGCGAGACAGGTCCTGCTGCCTTTGCCATTCGGAATGGGATAGGCTCCGATGCCAATATCCTTGTCACTTCCTTCCATCACCGAGAGATTTTAAGCCGTGCCATCTTGACCCATGTAGTTGCTATACCCGAACTCAAACAGAGCCTGATGATTCCACTGCGCTGCAGTACCCCACTCGGCATGCCCTGAGAGACGCATACCGAGAGCGCTGTAGGGGGCTTGAATCACCTTGTGCCCCCTCGGTGAAATGTTGCTTGGTGTAGACTTTTGCACCATTTGGAAGTCGGCTGTGATCTGATAGAGAGCGATCTGCTTTGGGAATGGGCAATTGTTCCAGACGTGGATGTTGAATGTGTCATCGCCGCGTGCCGCTACGGAGTTGTACTGATCAGTTGGTGCGGATGTAACAAAAGCCGCCAGAGTAGCGAGGACCAGCCCCTTTGCTTGCATTGTATATATAAGCGAGTGTGTCGTAAGTGTTGAAGAAATAAATGACTAATAACGTCTCTCCCTTCGTGCAGGGACGCACGGTGTGCAGGGACAGCAAAGCTACTGTGGCTTGCACTTTCTTTTGAAGCCGTCTATTAGCCACACTACCTGTAGCGGACATCGAAGCTGACTCCCACGTCTTATGTAATAGCACATGTCGTCCTTAGCCCAGCCTCTTAAAAAGATAGGGGTATAACAAGCTAATTATGTGTAGCGAGACGTATCCTCTTTATAAAGCCTTCTCCCCGTTAAATTCGCTTTATTCTTCCTATTTAATACGTTAATTTATTCGTTACTTTACGACTTATTATAGAAAGGTATCCCTCTATTCTAGCTAGCGATTATACTATCTCCTTACGGCTAAATATAGATAATTTCTATAAAGCGATTATATTATTCTATACTATATTATTATTCCGCTACTTATAAAACCGATTTACCTACTTCCGTCGACGTTTCTACTAAGCTAGTTTCCTCCTAAGATCGCTACGAGAAAACTAGGATCGGAGAAGTTAAAAAGAAATAATAGTAGAAAGTTAGGTCTCGCGATATAGGACGAGAGTTAGGGCCGTTTTTAACTTTTTATATAGAGGTAAGTATACGTTCTAGGCTATTTATACGAGCGTACGGCGGGAACTATTAATTACGATAGTTTTAGAGCGCCCGTAGGAGTATTCCCTCTACTTTCTCCTTTTTACTCTAGGTTCTATAGAGGATAGTAAAGTTATTAACCTAGCTAAAGGTCGATATATACTCGGGACTTTATACTTTCTTATACCCTTATAGCGCCTATACGAATATCTCTTCTACCTCCTCTATTTTACTCTACCTAGCGAAAAGAACCGTAAAGTTACTAACCGTATAGAGGGTCGATATATACTCGGGACCTACTACTTTCTCGTACCTTCGTAGCGCTCGCTAGTATATCCTCTCTACCTCCTCTATTTTACCCTAGGTTCTATAGAGGATAGTAAGGTTATTAACTATACCGAGGGTCGATATATACTTAGGACCTCCTACTTTCTCGTACCCTCGTAGCGCTCGCTAGTATATCTTTTCTACCTCCTCTATTTTCCCCTAGGATTCGTAGAGAATAGCGAGGTTATTAACCGTACTAAGGGTCGATATATACTCGGGACTATAGGCCTATTACGGATCGAAGTAGAGTACGTATAGGCTCCCTAGGATCGACGTACGTAACCGCTCTCTCGCTCTATTAAAAGAGCGATAGAGTACTCTCCCTTTTACCTTATAGAGCGTAGAGTAATACGCTTCTCCTTTATTATATAGGAACGATATTATAGTTTATATAATAGCGTTTAACTTACTATTTAATCTTACTATTTAGTTTATAATTATACCTAAACCTCTACTTTAAAATTATCTTAGTAGTCTACCGACTCTCTCCTTTTAACGAGCTCTAACTAAGAACTTAAGCTTAGTACCTATACTAAGTAAGATTCTAGGATTA